AGGGTAAACGGCTTGAAGGCCTCGTTAAAGACTGAGAGGGACAGGCCCTGACGAGGAAACGTCCACAGGCCTCCGCGAGGGGCACCCGTCTCGTCTCACCAGCCTGTGGGTCTCTCTCGAGTGTCGACAGGCACGTGGGGTCTGGGGGCCCAAAAGGCCTTTGACAAGGTCCACTGGCTGGGCGAGGGGCGCGAGAGCAAGCGGCAGGCGCAGTGCTCATGGGCCAGAGTGGAGCCGCGCACACTGGGAAAGCGGTCCCCCCGCAAGGATGCACCGGCGGGACCCGGGCGGGCTGAGCCGAGCCGAGCCGGGAGGGGCCTTGGGCTGGCGCGGGCGGCCGATCTGAGGCGGCCTGTGCGCGGCTGCGCGAAGGAGGCCGCGTCCGCGCTGGGCACCACTGGGAACGAAGAGAAAGCGGGCCTGCCGAGCTCCCTCTTCCCACACACCAGTCCTCGGTGCGAGCGCACGTGCCTGTTGTGCTCCGCTCTGGTTGCCTTGCCTGAAAAGGGACACCGAGTCGGAGAAGACGCAGAGAAGGGCCCAAAAATGTTGGGGGGCTGAGCGGCTCTCCTTTGAGGGGGGCCACAACTGAACTGCCCAGCTTGGAAAAAAGGCATTAAGGGGAGACAGGGCAGCGGCGCTTAAAATACTGGATGGAGTGGAGGAAGCAGCGAGGGGCTTTCTGCGCCCTCTCCTGACACACTTGAACCCGGAATCATCCCTCGGGGAGGCCTAGGGCAGGCCAAAGGAAGGCCCTCTGCAGCTAAACTGTGGGGTTTGCTGCCCCGGAAGTGGCGATGGGCCCCATCCGGGTGGCTTTTAAAGGGGATTGGCGGAGTCATGAGGGGGGAGGCTAGCAGTGGCCACTGGGCCGCTGGCCGCATGCTCCCTCCTTCGCCAGAGCTGCCTGCCTGCCTGCCTGCGCGCCGGGCCGGGGAGGCCTGGCACCCCTCCTGCCGGAGGGACCCTGTGGGCAGCCGCTCTGGCCCCCCGTGCCTGGAGGCAGAGCCCGAGGCAGCCCGGACCCGCCCCAGCAGGGCTTCTTCCTGTTCTGGAAAGCACTCGGTGTGGGCAGGGGGGCAGCAGGGGGGCCTTCCCAGGCAGGGAAGCCCTGCAGAATTGTAAGGTGCCTAGGAAGGCCCGGGCAGTTGCGGGCGGCCCATAAGTGTGTGTGTGTGAGTGCGATAAACGAAATCAATTATCCTGGAGATGAGAGCAAGCGAGGAGCCTGGCACGGCCCCCGTGGCCCGAGGGCCGCACCCTTTCAGCCACTCCTGGGGCCCAGTCGCTCATGGCTCTCAGCCTGGGCCAGCGCCGTCATGGCGCACCAGCCCCGCTCCAAACTCCTGTCCTGACGGCACCGCAGCCCGGGAGGCGTGGGCCGGCGCCCCTGCGCTGCTGCCCCTCCAGGCCCAGGTGCATGTCGGGGCAGCGCTTCGTCCAGCCACAGGCTGAGCACAGACCGGCCCGCATGGGAGGGGCCTCGGCGTGGCGTGGGGGGCCGTGGCCAAGGCATGTGCCCGGCCCACTTGCCAGGAAAGGGAGGCTGCGGCTCGGGCCTGCTCAGGAGCGGCCACACCGGCTGCCTCTGTGGCGCAGCTGAGGGTGCACCAGCCCTCCCCAGAGGGCTCCTGGGGTGAGCCCAGCCACCAGCCAGACCGCCAGGAGGGAGGCAGGCTTCCCCCGGCAGCCTCCTTGCTTTCCTGCTGCCCCTCTGGGCAGCCCTTCCCAAAGCAAGCGCCACCCCCGACTCCTGCCAGGGCTGCAAACAACTCTATCGTTCGGGGCGCCAGGGGCTCTGGGCACCAGCAGCAGTCTGGTGGCCACACGCTCCGAGACAGCTGCACGGCCAGGCAGGAAGCGTGTGCCCACCAGGACCCCCTGTGGGGCCAGCAGCCCAGGGGAGGGAACCCACTGTGGGTCTACGGGGCTGGACACGGCCCTGGCGACACACGAAGGAAACAGACGGTCCAAGGCCTGAGGAAGGAGGAGAGCGCCAGCCCTCTGGCCACTGGGATGCCAGCAAGGTCCGTGGGACTTTGCCGTCTGATTCACAGCCAACCCTGAACCAGAGATTGGGGCCCCCTGCAGCCCCTGGAAGAGTGCCAGCCCATGGGGGGGGGGGGCTTGACTCTGTGTGCATGCCGCTTGCAGCCACTCACATGCGATTTCTCAATTTAATTTCAGCTTGCTCTTCCATGAAATTCCCAAAGATAGCTTGTGACATTTCAGAACACCACAAGCCAAATGAGAATGTACAGATTCAAATACTGAAATAATAAAAACGGTGAAAGCACAAAAGCCACAAATCGCACCCAGAGACAGAGCAAATGAAGGGACAGCGAGGCCTGCACTGCGCCCCAGCCGGCGCATCCATCGAGCACCAGGCAAGCCTTCCTGACAGGAACATTCTGGTCCTGGGGCAGCGCCACCAAGGCGGCCATGTTCCCAGGAGACCCCTGTGGCCCTCCGACAGTGGGAGCAGTGGACGGGGCTGCGCAGCCTCCCCAAAGCCACCTGATCCGATCAACTTGCCCCTCCGGCAACGACGGGCCTGCCCCACGTGCTCCCACGGGGCTGCTGGGAAGACCCCATGAGAAGCAAGAGCTGGTCCTCGCTCCGGCTCCCGGGGCAGCGGTGCTCCAGGGGACCCCTCACCTGCTTTCCTGGACTCTGTGGGATCACGCCGGGGCCCACCCACCCCACAGCTGCAGCTGCCTGCCTGCCTGCCCGCCCCAGCCCGACCCACCACGGCTCCCCAGCACCCCCGCAGAGGGAGGCCCTCTCCCCCCCTTGGCTGCGGGATCCATGGCAGAGGAGAAGGCAGAGGCGGTGTGGGGGGAGCAGGAGCACCCGCCCTGCCATGGCACAGGGATCAGTGGGGAGTGAAGGCCATGGCTCAGCAGCATGCCCCACTTGGCATGTAGAAGGTTCGGGGCTCCATCCCCAGGGGCATCCCTGGGGGGGCTGGGAACACCACCCGATCCCCTGGGAGCACCGGCTGCCAGCGAGGTGGCTCTGCTGAGCTGCAGCCTGTGGGGGGGATCAGGGCGACCGTCTGGAGTGCCCCTCCAGTGCCTGTGGCCACCTGCCCCACCCCAGGCTGGCAATGCACCGCCGCCGTGGCCCCCGGGACTCAAGTGGCCCTATCCGGCAGCCACACCGAACTGGCCAGGGCAACACGTGGACACCCAAGCCCAGCCTCTTCCAGCCAGGGCAGCTCCTTAGGAGCACTCTGGGAGCAGACGGGCCTCATCCGCACAGGCGCAAGTAACCTCGAGGGGGCAGGTGCGCAGGGCACAGCCAGCAGCTCAGGATGCCGGGCAGCGAAAGCAGCTCCTCGCAGCTGCAGAAACAGGCCTGGCTGGGCCAGAGGGGGGCAGAATCCCTCCCCCCGCACAGCTCCAAGGGATCCGAGGCAAAGGCGGGGGCCGTCGGGCCAGCAAGAGCCTGCAGACTGGATGCCAACAGCTCCCCAGGTGGCCTTAAGCAAAGCACACAAGCCTCAGGTAGCCCCACCTGTGAACTGGGTGGGACCGGGGGCCATTTGAGGTGAGGAGGACAAGCAGGTGCAGCAGTTTGCAGACTGGAGCTCCGAGCCCAGGCTCTGGGCCGCCTGGAGCAACACCTGCCCGGGCTCCAGCCAGGGCCCCGGGGCCACCTGGGCTCATGCCAGCAGGAGTAACAGGCGCGCTGGCTGGGCGCCCTGCCAGTCTCCCCGCACGGAGGACGACCAGCCCGGCTGCTTGGCGGGGACCCCGTAACAGCACCCATTTCCGGCTCCCCCTGGGATGACCATTAGAGTCAACCAGCAGCGAAGACAAAGCCGCGGACGAGCTGGAGCGCGGCGCCTGCCCAACGGGAGGGTCTGGCCGGGCTGCGCACTGTCCGCAGCCCCGAGCCCGGAGCGTCTCTCTGGCCCATGGCGCAGACGGGACGCCTGCAGAGGACGACCCTGGCGGGAGCAGCTCCCAGGCCAGGGCCGGCCGCCGGTCCCCAGGCCCGCAGTGCTGCGGCGTCGGCAGGGAGGCCGCCGATCCTTGCGGGACGCCCGCGGGCAGCCCCTGGGAGGGCGCGGGCCCGGCCGGGCCCAGGACAGCGAGGCCGGCCGCGCGTCCGCGCCAGCAGCCCCCCGCTAGTGCAGCGCCCGCAGAGCGGGGCCCACGGCGCTCGCGGCGGCCACCGGCGCGGCAAGAAAATGGTTGCGCCGCAGCCGCCGCAAAGGTCGCGCCGAGGACGGGCTGCGGCCGGCGCCGCCGCGAAGCTGCCGCAGCGGCCGGGCGCCCGGCCTCTCCCTGCGCCCCCCGGCCGAGCGCGAGC